GTTGGTTTAATTTTATCTATTTGATTTTGAAACTAAGATCCCGCTTCCAAGGTATTCGAGTCTACGTCTTGCCGCCGCTGGGTAGTTGCATAAGTTATATGTGAAGATATTTGTTACCCCGCAGAAGAACGGGGTAGGGCGGGCTGAACCCATGAAAGGAGTACATGCAGCCTTCTTTGCTTTTTAAATTTAATTCAACGTATCTTGAGTTTTTTGCATCTACCCTTGACTTCTTAACATACATTGAAAAATAAAATATATGTTTTGTACATAGCTACTTCATCAACTATATTGGGTCCTGAAACTAACATAAGACTTAATAAGGTCTTACTAAGATGATCATCTGGGAATATAGTCTACACATCATTTAAAATTTTCTGAGATTTTGGAGTGCAGTCCGTAAACAATTTCTTGAGTACACTAATGAAGTGTGCTATTTCCTTAAGTATAGATTTCTTAAAGGTTTCAAAATTGATTGATTGAAATTGATTGTGAAAATAAGTATTTAATACTTTATTATAACTGCTTAAAATTATTTGTGTTAATATTTGATTGCTCAATTTTTAAGTTGTCACTATTAGCAATGCAACGAGTGTGTTTATCAACCTTCAGACAACTTGTTTCCGGGAATATAGATAATAATTAAGATACATTTTCAGCCTTTTTTACAATGAACAAAAATGAAACACATGTCACCCAATTATTCTCATGTAATCTGCCGTTCCGAACTCATATTCGGAAATAAAGATAATAACAGAATTCAGCGAGTAATCAATTTACACGTCAATTCATCAAAATATGTTAATGTGTTAATTACTGAAAATAATAAATAATAAAAGCAATCACAGAAAAAATCAACAAATTAATTTAAATTAAATTAAAAAAAATATATTTACATATATTTGGGGATTTTTTATTATATAAAAAACAGAAACAGAACCTCAACACAAATGAATAAAACCAACGAGTAAAGATAAAAATCCAGTATTAGGAAATATTTCCTAATACTATAATATATAATACTAATACTATAATAAATGTTATGAATAAATATACTCGTATTTTAGAAGTGAGTTTAGATGTGTGATGATAGAATAATATGAATCTGTTAATTTATTTAGGGTGACTTAATAAGAATTCACTGATATAACCTATTATAAAACAGATCTACAATATTGTTGGATGTTGAATAATATTTTATATTTAAATAATGGGAAAAAAATAGAGAATTAAAATTTAAAACTTATTCTTATATATATATTATCATGTTGAAGCTATTTCAGCCATTGCACTTAAGCACTTTTACTCTTTCTTAACTCGAGGTATTTTTAAAACCCCTCTTTACGCCTTAACTGGATTATTGTTTGTCACTTCATTAGACCCCGAAGAGCCTGTAACCATTCTGAGATTTGATAACGGGGTGTTGCTAAGTCTGTAAGTTTTCGCAAATAATTTCAGGGCTCTATCCTCTATGTATTTTTTGATGGGATCAATATTGAGATCCCTGAGAATGTAATTCGTCCTAATCTACCATGGTACTTTGAAAAGTCTTCTCTTATATATATAGTTTAATTTAATATTTATACATTTATATAATACTCACATCTTTATAGAATCTAACAGATTGAACTGGAAATATTTTGTAGAAACCTTAGGTTTTTAAAAAGTTTTATTTAAATAATAATAATATGTGAAGTGTACTAAATATATCTTCTTTTATTTAAAAGTAAATGTAAGGAATATATTAAATTTAGTAAATAAATTGTTTATAAATTAAACTTGATTTTCGTATATAACCTTTTCGGTTAAACCAATTGCATGATTCTTCAACTTTGATAGATATTTAATTTCTACAGAATTTCTATTTTTATTACTATTTATAATTATTTTAATAACTGATTACCATAATGAAAAAAATTTAATGTCAACAATTAAAATTGATAATAAACACATTATCGTGCCAGTTGTCTTCTGGTCATTACACTTACTATCAACACATATTCGTATTGTAAATATTAGAGTTTCTTTGTCGACAGATCAGTCGTAATACTTTATTCTGTGGTATTTTCCATTTTATTCTATTAAAAAAAGTTCTATTATTTTTCTGAATATGTGTTTTGTATATATAGCCCTAATACAATATGTACTACTATATATGTTAAGTACATATTTGATATGAACACATCTCATGTTAGTGCTGAGGTAGGTCAGAAATAATTGATTCATCCTAGAATACAATATAATATTATACCTATTGAGAATTGTTTAGTGTGTTTATGCAAATGGCACTTTGCTTAGTCACTGATATTATGTATGTTATTAGTTGGACTAATTCTTTTAGTAGTATTCCATCATCTTCCTCAATAAAATTTGCTTTTGTTTTAAATAAAGTTGACATTAATACATCTGTTCTTTATATGACTTTATTTTTCGTCGGTTTTTACTGACCCTATAAAGCAGGGCTGCCCAAAGCATGGCCTGCGGGTGAAATGCAGCCTGTGGCTAATATTTGTGCGGCCCATGACAACGTTTTAATCTACCACAATTACTTCAATTTTCTTTTGGTGTACTGGAAAAACTACATTATTTTATTTTTATGGAATACCAAATAAATGAAGTTAAATTAATAAAACTAAATTTAAAATTATAATCGCATTTATATTTTTGTCGAAAACAACTACGTACTTATGTATTTGTTTTTGCGACTCTCCAATCTACACAGTGATTTGTATTGGCCTGGACAGCCCTGATATAAAGCATATAAAATCTTCTTTCATAACTTTACATAATATAAAAATACAATTTAATTATATTAATAATAAAAATTAATTTTTAACGTGCGTTTTAACAAAAGCAACAATATTCTTAATATAGAAATAGAATATAGAAGAAAACTATATTCTTAATATGTTTGGTACAATAGGACTCTTTTGACCATAGTACCATCTGTTGAGCAATTTCACGTCAAAACTTTTTTTTAATAATAATATGCTTAATATAAACTATTTTTTTCAATACATAGGTTTTTATCGAACAGTAGCGAAGTAGCAACAACAAAAATTAATTATTATTATTTTTAATTAATTGAATTTTTGACAGATCGTATTAATATCTCCAGCGCAAAAAGTATCCGAATTTTGTAAATAAAACACACAATCTTAAATTTTATTCCATTTATTCCATTATTTTATCTCTTTCAAAATATTCTCCTTCTCAAACGATACACATATGCCAACGCTTAACCCAATCTTCCATACACTTTTCGTAGGCCCGTGAAGCTATGGCTTTTAGATCCATCAGCGAATTCTCTTTTACCGATTCAATCGACTCAAAACGCTTATCACGAAGGGACACTTTTGAGTTTCGGGAACAGGAAAAAGTCGCACGGATCCAGATCTGGCGAATATGGTGCCTGAGCGATGACAGTGGTGCCGTGTTTGGTCAAAAAATCGCGTAAGAACAAGAATAGTAAAAATCGCTAAATGCACTTGAGGTAGTCTCACATTAACAGCTGCTGTAAACAAACTAATTGACAGATGGCGCTCAAATTCATACCATATGTCAAGAAAGGATGTACCAACATAACTAAAAAAAATTTTTGAAAAAGATCTATTACTTAAGGAGTAGTTAACAAACAACAAAATCCGGATACTTTTTTTCCTACAAAGGCTAGTAGTTAAGTATGATTTTTAGTTAAAAGGGAGTAGTGGACTTTATCTATTTATAATAAGTATGAAAAAGCAATAACTGTAAAATATTTTAAATAAATATTTGATGCTATTTATACCATACAGTTTTTTTGCAAAAATATGTAATGGCACATTTGTATTTATGACAATAAAATATTTATATAGACTTTGAGAATAGTGGATGCTTTGTATATTTAAAAGATAAAAGCGATACTTTGACACCTGTATATAGGTATATATAGTTCTGATATGTTCTTTCCCCCTGGCAGAGTTTTCTATCCATCGTTATCTTGTGAAGAGAGTGTGAAGCGTATGTAATTGTCGGTCTGTTTCTAATTACAGAAACATTAATGATTATAGTTAATTTTAATTAAATTTATATAATATAGCACTGAACTTAATTTTCTTTTTTTTTTTTTGTTGCGTCACTTATCAGATCTGTCAATACACCGGCTTGAGCCAGTGCCAAGTAGTGAGCCAAGCAATAATGAAGTATCTGTAGTAGAGGTTATTTTGTGACATTATAAATTATCTCGTGTTGTGCATTGTGGAGCTTTGAAGAGCGATTAATTTGTGTCGCCAAACGAAATGCAACAACAACAAAGAACAACAACAATTATTATGGCAACAATAGTGAGAAGTTGACAATAGAAAAAGCGAATAAAAATAAAAATAAAAAAATTAAATTAAAAAATGCAAACAAACGAAACGAATAATTCGTAACTGAAAAAAATTCAAAACTGAAAAGAAAACATGTATGTATGCATGTAGTTTAGTATGTAAGTAAATCGAAAAGTGAAGCTTTAGTTTAATTTTCAGTTTTAGATTCAAATTCAGTTTCAGCTTTAAGCTATAAGCTATAAGCTCAGTTGTGTCAGCTGCAAGTAGACAGCGCATCCAACTAACAGATGTATACCGCTTTAAACCATCGCCGTTCACGTTCACGTTCACGTTCGCGTCCGCGATCAACTCTATTTTGTGTATCTGAACCTGTGCGAGTGCTGAGCTGAGCGGCTTCGCTATTTCGGAGCTTACATCAAAAATCAGTCGCTGCGTTAAGCTCGACGACGTTGGTTTGAAGAAATCCAAAAATTCAGAAAAATTTTCATATTTTGTATAAAAAAGTTGACATTTATAAAAATTTTTTAAACGGAGTTGAAGTTGCAAAGCGCGGTGTCGCGAAGAGTCGAGAAATTGTTAAATAAATAGTCAAAAAAAAAAATATATGAATTTTAAAAAATTGTTAATTAATAAATAAAATATTTAAAAATAGAAAAAAAAATTAATTTTATTAAACTGTAAAAAAAACGGGAGTTTTTACAAATTAGTGAAAAATTAGTGAAAAAGTGTTAAAACCTAAAAATGTCTGCATTCAAAGCCGAAATCGAGTTTCTCTAAGCCTTGAGACTAGACTAAGTCGTGAAATCAATAGTGAAAACTCAGTTCAGATGATCATTATTTTTTCCGCTGTGGTTCCCTAATTAATGTGATCAATTATTTTAATTTTGTAAGGGAAATTTGGAAGAACAAACCTGATAATCTATAATCTCTGTCTGACATATCATATATTAATATCATATATTTATATCTGTGATCATCGCACGAAACCCAACTGCTTTCAACTGTAATTTGAGGTAATTTTGTGTGAACTAACAATTGAAAAAAGCAATTAAGGAAACACATTCGGGCAGATTAAAAATTCAATTTTGAATAATAAAAAATCTCACAAATTTATGCTTACAATATGTGCAATTAGATGACTACAGACTACAGACTACAGACTCAGTGTGTCTTCGTCCAAATTCGTGTACTTCAAATAATGGAAAATTCATTTTGCTTAGTCTCAGTCAAATTAAATTAAATATTTGCTTAATTTTCATTATAATAGATAAATATTAGATAATGAGGTTGGATATTCCGATATTCACAAATTTTATAAAATGAAAGTTACAAACTTATTTTGCATTTATACGAGTAAAGTTTTAAAGAAATGAAAACTATATTCAAATTGTGTACTCAAATAGTAAACTAACATGCTAAAAATAATAAAATTACATTGATTAGTGAAGAAGAATTTAAAATATGTAATATCCTATAGACGAGACTTCCAGTCACATTTTCTGTGACTGCCGAGCCTTGATTTGGGCCAGGAAGAGGTCACTGGATTGAGAACTACTCTCCCTTTCTAACATTAGGAGGTCCTCAACGGCTGACATTCTGGCTTTCATTTGGAAGGGGTAATGTCTGCTGTTCGGTTAGGGTCTGTTGCAGCACAAAAGATCAATCATGGTTGCATTGCTGTGTTCCGTTGAGAGCTAGTATCTCTTTTATTCCTATTCCTAAAATCCTATATATAAATATATTATTTTAAGGTCCTTTAATTCAGTCGAAATAACCTGTAGGAGTAGATACAGTTCTAAAACTACTCCTTTCTGTTCTGGGTGTCCGGTTTCAAGGTATGGGGCAGATAAATGAAAAACAGGTAGACAGATAGAGAGTATAAATAAAGAATATAATAAGCATAAGAATAAGAAGAATAAAGAATAAATAAGAAAAAACTAAAAGATCTAGCCTAATCACTAGCAGCATTCAAACAGTTATTGAAATCTTGCTATACTGAGAAATTCTTCTTTTATGAAACGTTAATATATTGTATGTTATGATTAATGTATATAAATAATGGAATATATTTGAATCGTATTACTTTTACATTGATAGCTAAGAAAACGTCAGCATATGTGCCCTTAATTGACAGCTCTTATTGGTGTTTCAAAAAAATAAAAAATAGAATTGCAATATTTCAGTGAATCTGAGTAGCTGTAAGGTGTTTCTTTTTTTTCCATATGTTGTATCGGACAACGAATGTGTCTTAAAAAGAGATAAGTTAGCATCCAAAAAAGCAATAAGAACCTATTCCCAGAGAAGTCATTTTTGTTTAGATTGTATCTCAACCTTGAGTAACTTAATCGAACCCTTATGATCACCATATATAATTACCTTAGTTTAAGGAGATTATCTGGAATTGTTCGGTGACTCTCTTTACCTGTGTGTATCTTTCCAGTTCCTGAATTTTGCTACTATATGTCTTTTGCCAGAGTAAAGAATGGTTTAGGTGCAATTAATTGATGCTGTGCTCCTCGTTTGACTGGGCAGTCAGCATTTATTTGCTATTGTGCTGGCACAAAGCACTTTCATTAAATATATATATATAACAATAACAATTACAATATCTATAACAGATATTCAAACTGTTAATTTTACTAAAATTGTGGTGCATTTTATGTTAATTGGTTGTAATATTTATTCAGCTATAGCATAGAAGGAGACATAAATATAAGAGAGTTAAGAAAGGTCATGGCTAGTTTATTTTTAAAAGCCAATTGTAAGACATAGTAAAAATTAGAGACATAGTCTTTTTGGTTTAAAACCTATCTCTGCTCTAAGAAATAGGATTATTGATCCTATATATATATAAATAATTAATTAGAGCATCAAATTCATTAGATTTCTCTTTAGTTTAAATATGATTTGTAGTAAAATTACTAATTTCATTATATATATTACAAAGTCAGAAAATTATATAGCAAGTTAGAATATTATTTAGCGGTCAGGGCTTATCTTACGGAAAAAAACGCTTTCACTTTATTTTATACACCATATATTATAAAATTACAACTTGTAAGAGTTGTGACCTTTGACTCTATGGGTTACAAGATACAGCTCCCTCAATTGTAATAATATGAGCTGACTATTATAAAAAGTAAAAAATTCATTTAAAAACTTAAAGTTAGTAACTGATACTGGGCTACTAACAGGCAGTGATTATAATTGATGACTTTATTATTAAACCTTAAATTTTTGCGATTTAATAATAATTTGCCTTTTAATAAATAATTATTTTAAAATAATGTGGTTAATTAGCTTATAATTGGGATATCAAAATTAATAATGTGCTAATAATAATGTATTTTTAAATAGTGTAGAATAGGGCCATATGGAAAGAGTTATGGAATTTACATTTAAATAAGTTTTTAATAATAATTTATGAAAAATACTTTCACGGAGCAATTATTGCAGTTAACTGGTATAAAGACTTACAATTTACAGTAAAATACATTGTAAAATGTAATTGTAGAATAATAAGTGTTTCTTAACAAAAGTACCTATTTCCTAATTGGGTATTAGGGATTATAAAACCTTCTTAAACTTATTATATTACAGTTCTAAAATTAATTTGCATAAATAAAGACAATAGGAAACAAATGTTTATTTTCAGTTTTAAAATAAATTTCTTAAGTTAAATTTTATTATTTGATAACTAAATAACGTTATTTATTTTGCAATATAATATGGTGCTTTAAACAAAAAATCCCCGACTTACTGTACATAGAAGCGAATTCAGTAGCAACTCTAGGTGATATGAAGCCCTGAGACAAATAATTTTCTGACTGTTTTTTGTATTAAAAATGTATTTAACACACATTTTTTCTCATTTTCATATAATGTTTGTTAAAATGTTAGCTATGCTATTCTCAACATGTTGTACTGGTGTTTCATTTTCAATAATTATCGTTCTTTTAATTAAAATAGGTTAAGTCCACAGTTCTATTCCCGTTCTGTTCTTTTAGCTCTGTTTTTTACTCTTCGAATTTTCTATATTTTTCAAATGTTCTATAGGTTGTTCATCACTTTTATTTATCTTATATTTTTTCCTTATATAGAATGTTTTCTTCTTTTTAATTAATAAAATACAATTTTTAAAAAAACAATTAAATAAAATTTAAAACAAATAATTTTTAATCCTTCAAACTGTAAGAAACGTAAAAAGCAAAATATAAAAAAAGGTTTTTTAGAAGAAGTATTGTGTAGACATTCTTTTGGTATATCAGTGCCAGATATCAAAATATATATACATACATTCCATAACTTTGTAAAGTAATAAAGGCTATATTTAACAACTACCTATTCCACAGTCAACTTATTTGAATGGCTTTTACTATTTATTTACTTCATTAGACGCAATTTTTCGCAAAATTTCAATAATATTCACAATCACATAAAATAGACATAATAATTATTTAAGGTACATTTAATATATTATATTTTGTGGAAAAATATTAATCAAAAAAAAAAAATATGTATATAAATTTGTACGAATTATTTAATTCCCTCACTTTAATTGTTTATAAAAACATTTGTTTAATATTAACAAATTGTTTAACAAAACGCTTAATATAAATAAAAAAAAATCAAATCTTTTTTATTTACGTTTTCAATTAACGTCTATGCCGAGCTTTTTTGTTGCGAAATGGGAGCTTTAAATTAGTTCCTTCCGGTTTTTTCAAGTTTACTCGTACAAACGTGAAAATGACGTATTACCAGAAGCAATGTGCCATGAATACCAATTTTCCGAAATTAGCGTATTCAAATTAAAAAAGTAAATACTTTAATGGGCCACCGACTTTTGTAAAAATTCAGAGCCATGCACTGAAATTAAAGTAGCTAATTTACCCTGAATATGCACAAATAATAATTAAAAATTAATGAGTATCACTTCAAAAAGAATATTCAAGAAGTTCAGGTATTTCTGAAGGCCTCTACTAAACAAAGCGCATTTCTACACACCTCACCACCCCCAGCATTTATTACTACATTTTCACAATTTGTTTTATGATGTTAGCATAAATTATTTTTTTAAGATTATTTTTATTATTTATGCAAATATTTGAGACATACCTACCATCTTCTAAAAGAAAAGAAAGTCAATGGGACCTATTTTGGGATTCCGTTTGAAATTAGCAGGGCACGCAATATACAATTTGCAATGTATTGTATATTTTTGTTGTAAATTAAAATAATTTTTCGCTTTACTGAGATATACTATATAATATCGTTAGAATTATAATTATTTTTCCACTTAGCGTATTTAAAATTAAATAAAAATTGGTTTAGATTCTCCATCTTACTAAATCATTGTTCTCATACGTCATCATTCCATCGATGTTAGAGGCTTACGGCTTTAATAAATTTTTAAGGTGGTGATAGCGCGCATTATTATGCTTTTTCATTGCAATATTTTTAAATAAATGAATTTTAAACATTATTTTTAGTTCTTTTTTTTTGTAGGTAATTACGAGAAATGTAATTTCCCTTATTAGTATTTGTAGATGTGAAAGAGTTTTTTAAAAATTTTTGCTTACAATTGTTTATAGGAATCAAGAGCAAATATACATATATATACAATTATTATTACATATTTAAACAATTATATTATCAATAATAAGATATTATAAAAAGTATTATTTTGTTGCTTAGTTACTTTTATTAAATTTTTTAATAATGAATATTTATTACTATGCTTATCAGTTACTTATAATTTATTATATTCATTGTTATAAAATTATAAGACTTAAAACTGAAAAAGCTTTTTAAACATTATAAGAACACGAGTCCCAGAATATCATAGTTGATCCTAATGTTATATTAATGACTGAGGTAAACTCTATGACTGCTGCCAGAATAGCACTGGTAGTATACGTACATAGTAAGATTTAATTTTTTCTTTAAACTTTTTATGTTACTTTAATTTAAAAACTAAAGATTTTTTCTAGATATTGGAGAGGTTTTTTAAAGT